GGAGCTGGGGTGCACAAGCCTTCCCAACGAGCTGAGATGGAAACGAAATCGTTCCTCGGAGTAAGTAAAACGGTGAAAAAAAGCAGAGGGGAGGGAGGAATCCGCCCCGGCGGAGGGCACGGCAGCGGGTGCCGGGGGATGGGCTGGGGGGCTGAGCCCTTAGCCCGCGGTATCGCCGCCGGGGCTGGCAGCCTGCTCCTCGCCGTGGCGGTTCGGGTAGTTCTCGTCATGATGTTTCCTGTCGTTCCCGTGACGTTAGTTAGCTTCTGGGCCGGCTGCAGCAAATGTTTTAATTACGGCATCATCAAACATTCATTTAGCTTATCTCGCTCCCGCAACTGCGTGGCGTTTGGCCGTGGTACGGCGTGGGCACAACCCGGGCGAGATCCCGCCCGGTGCCCTCTGCGTCCTGGGTTTGAAGGACCGTGGTCTCTAGCGGCTTTGCCCGTTTTGCTGCTTGTTTACTGTTTGTGTCCGGTAAAATCCTCAACGCGTGGTTGCTGCCTGCACTCAGACCACCCAAGGTCGGATCAGAAAGCTGGCGTGAACGAGGGGAGTGAGGGTTGTTAGTCCCGGCTAGGCGTGTAGGGTGGCCTTGCCCGTCTGGAAGGGGGAAATGAAGACACAATTCTCTTCTGCAAAGTTTAGGATTTAGTGATGAGAGGCCGTGGCTAACGGTTGTAATTTCATTACTGCAGGGAAGCCTCGGTTTCCCCATAAAGGATACCCCACATCTCCAAACACAAGGTAGCAGCTGAGATTAGAGGTGGCGGTGCGCACGTCTAGGGCTTTGCATTTTGCAGGGGGTCAGGCCAGAATCTGGTCCAGCCACTGCTGTACGGGACTTGATCAGCAGATTCCCGCAGTGCTGCTGCTCCTGCCGTGCACTGCCGGCGGCTGCCATCCCCAGCCTCAGGGTGCTGAGGAGGGAGGTGGGAAGATGAAGAAAAAGAGAAGGAAGAGGAGGATGAGATGTGAATTTCTCATATGTCTGCGTTTGCAGGACTGCAGCATAGCTTGGTCTTGCAGTTTCTGCTCTCTGATGGCTTTCCTCAGGCCCAGCAGGACACTCTTTGTGAAGTGTCTCGGTCCTGCAGAGACTGGGGCCTTGATGGCAGTTTATGCCAGGCTGAGAACCTGCTGCCTGTGGGTTTTGGCTGGGCAGTGCCGAAGGGTCTGTTGTACAGCCCGGCAAAGCCGATCGCAGGGCTTGCTGCCTCCTCAGGGGCTTCTTCGGTATGGGCCATCACTGGGCTGTCCTAACTCAGAGGTGAACCTGTGTAAGGGACTAGCGTGGCACAAAACCAGATTGTCTTCTGTTAGTTGTGGGACTGTGCCCACGTTAGCCCGAGTGAGGCAATGAGAGCACATGGCGGAAGGAGAGGGTGGCAGCAGGTAAGCCTGCACCCTTGGACGCATCCTGGGAGTGCTGCTGGGGAAAAGGAGCTTGTGCTGGGCCGAGGTGCGGGCTTACAGGTCCCTGCCGCTCACGGAGGGGCTGTGTGCCCGCTCTGGGGGGGCAGAGATGTCTCTGGAGTACAGATGAATTGGGCAGCCCCAAAGGCTCTGGAAAGGTTGCTGCAGATCCCAAGGAAAGGAGGAAAACCTTATAGTTAGGTTTATAGTCTGTGTACAGGACCCACGTAAGTGCTGCCATATGCTGGAGTGTTGCATCCTCACAGCTCCTGCCAGCTTCAGAGCTGGGGAAGGGGAAAGACTATCCAGTCTTTTGCAACTACTAAATAGCAATGTTATTTTAAGCACCTACAGTCTCAGTCCATGCTGATGCTACATGGTACGTAGCCTAGAGCAGAGCAGCCCTGGCTGAGCAGTGGTGTGCAGCCTGAGGAGGCATGAAACACAGCAAAAGGGACGAGATTAGCTGCAGACATCTGTTGTCTGAGCAAGGGATCTGCAGGAGGCAGAAGTTCAGCATGTTAAATTGCAGAGCCAGAGGGTGGATGAGTTGATCTGCCTGAGATCCTAACTTCTTTCTAAGAATAAGAATACCAGATGTAGCATTATAGAGACCGTTTGCTTATGCAGGACAAAAGGATCTGCACCTTTTTTATAAATAAATCCATGGGCGTTTTTCTACCTGACTTTGTACTAGGCCCATCAAATATCTGTTTTTTAAAGTGAAACAAAGGAAGCAAGATAGGGTTTAAGCTACTTCCTTCCTGCTTACACAGTAGCCTTGTGTGTATGGATAACCTCAGAGGTAGGTGCTTTTCACCAGGAGGAAAGTGCCAGGTTACACACTGGACACGTGCAGCCTGTGCCACTGTGCCAGGGGTGCTGGGCATTTCCCTCAGCTGACACGGTCCCATTCGTACCTTAACTGGGGTGGCTGTACTCAGAGAGACCAATTCAAAGCCACACCAAAGGCACAGCAAGGCAGGCTGGAAGAGGGATCATACGTGCATTGACAGATATAAGGGCAGATTGTATCTGTTATGTGCGGTATGGACATAAAACTTAGCAATGAAATTCCTAAAGTTGCCTTTCATATGGCCCTATGTGACTGACAAAATAAAACCTCTAGAAGACCCTGGTGATAACCATGATTTCTCAGCTGGGTTTCATCCACTGGCACTCCTGTATGACCATTGCAAATTTTTCAGAAGATCCTGGAGAGGCTTGTATCCAAGAAGAACAGTTCCAGAGTAGTTTTCAGGAAGGTCTGACTGAGGTGAAGTACTTGTGATCATGAGCTTAGCAGCAGGGATGATAAGAACAGACATCAAGAGATCTTCTCACAACAGGGAATAAGAAAATGGAAATATTCCTCTCAGCCCCCAGAAGCCAGCATGACTTGGAAATTCAATATCCTGACGTCTTTGTTAAGGGTTTTCACAGAGGTATTGTTTTGGCAGCTGAATTGATGCTTCAAATTAGGTGTTCTCCAGGGAACTGAGGGCTGCAGACCCAGCCTCTGTCCTGGCTCTGCCATCGGTCCCACTGCCATGCTCCCGGGGCTGTGAAGGGTCAGGAAACAGACGTTTCACACTGGTGGTGCGTTACTCCTCATGGTGTTGCAATAGCCAATGTAGATGTTCATTTCACCATACCAACAAAGCTGTACATATTGGTCTTGGCTCTGTTTTTTTCTTTCAGTTGGTTAGTTTACAAGCCTGAAGTTGGAACCTTCCCTTGGCATTGTGCTGGGAGACAGTGTTACCAAAAGCAATGCATGTTGTGGACAAGAAGCATTACATTTTGCTGCAACCACTTGAGAGAAAGATTGACATTTTATAACATGTATAAGTCTGTCCTGCACAGGTGCTGTGGCATTAATTCATCCACAGTTTATATAATGGTTTATTCTTTTTCTTTTCTTTTTCCCTTCCAGAACACCCTATGAAGCTCTAGAGCAGGCACTAATGGAAGGCCCTTTGCAAACCTCCATTCACGTGTGCCATGAAAATGGTCAATGGATGTCACGACTGCCAGAGAAGCTCTGGGATATTCCCCTCTATAACTTGGCTCTTCCAGGTGAAGACTAACTTTTTGTCTCTGCTGTTTTGTTAGTGTGTCATTTAAGCATTGGAACATCCTGTTTGTCCCATTTCAGGATGGCTACATTTATTATTTGGGTCAGTGTGTGGGAGAAGGGCTCGGGGGAGGGTTTGTGTGACATGTGTGTGCATGTGAATACTTTTAGTCTGTAATGTCTGGGATTTCTTGGAGGGCAGGGAGGAAAAAAGGGGTTTTTTGTTGGGTGTTTTTTGAGGGAAGGAAAAAAAGGGGACTTCTTTGTAGTCCCTGTGCATCATCTTGTCAGATTCATATTAATAATCTGAGCATTTGTTTATCTGGGCAATGGTGAGATTTTCCTAATTCATTCTTTCCACTTTCTACATAATAAAGTGGTTCCAAAAGGAGAGAAATAACATTTTACCTTATTATTTCTTTGTAGTATTTAAAAGATGCCATGAAGGTATGAAAAAATGAGGAATGAGACTTTTAATTAACATATGTTTTCATTAATGTAGAATGTGACTTTTCTATATGACCCTGCTGGATTTATGCTGTTACGGGTAAATACAACTGTGCTATAAGCTATAGCTGGCGTCGTCATTGGTACTACATTCAGGCCTGTGTATCATTAGGCTTTCTTTGGTCATATTATTGCTCTCTTTGCTGCCTTGAATAGATGATCCCCACACACCCCCCATTCTGTCCAAAGAAGTTACAGGAGAATCTGTACTCACTGGCATGTGGGGAGGCACTGGAGGACTGTCAGCTCTTGAGTGATTCCCTTTGCCTCCTCAATGAAAATGGTATTAAAGAAAAGTCTAGCCCACGTTTCCTCTCACAGCTGTAGATACGACAGGTAGTTTGGGTGGAAAGCAGCACAGTGTGTAGATGAATGTTTTATATAGGCTACAGAGTCGTAGGTTAACTGAAACCCAGAAACTTATTTCATGGTGACTTCTTGGATACGTAATTTAAATTGATGTTAACATCAGAACAAATTCAACTCTGTTTTGGATAATGCCTATGTAAGAGATCCCCAGGACAGATGTTAGTAAAAAATTCTAGATTTCGTATTTAACCATCAGGAGAAGAAAATAAGTATCTATCCTATGATAGAAGAAAGAAGATAATTGTATCTTTTTTTTTTTCTTTTTTGTTCCTCTTGAAAAAATCCTTCAAAAATCAGTAGCATGCTCAGTGGTTTTTCTGTTTGATGGAAAAGGAACTTTGTTTCTAAAAAGGTTTCACAGTGTTCTTCTTGGACATTGTAGAAAGCTGAGAACCCATTGGTGTGTGCCTTTGGCTTCCTGGCTCTTCTGCTAACGGTCACCTTATTATTCTTGTGAATGTTTGTTGATCTCATGAATATGCCTGCATGGGGAGCAGGCACAAAGAAAAGAATAATTGAAGACAAGCCCATTTCAGCAGACATTGGAGGACTTCTACAGAGCATGGCAGACTATGAACTTGGAAGATTTTGGTGGCTGTCCAGCTGACCTACAAAACTGGTCTAGCCCAGGACAGAACAAAAGCAGATCAATATCAACCAGGTCAAGACAGCTCTGGCAGGTTTTCATAGGGAGCAATGACTGGGGGAAGCCCAGTTTGGAAGAGGAAGCTTATCTCAGATAGAGAAGACAACAAGGTATACAAGAAATGTCAGAGTGCATTCTGAAAGCATGACGAGGAGACACAGGCAATTTTCAGTAATTAGTGTTGTGTTTGCACCAGGTTCAGCACAGTGCTGGTGGGGAGCTGTTGCTTCAAGTTCTGAAGCTACCTGGTTTGGTGCTAGCTCACTATCTTTGCATCATATTTGTTGTGTCATGGATATACCTATCTTCCTTTCATTACTCACTGGTATCACAAGAAGACTCCTAAATGAAAAGGTATTACCCATTTGCTGATGGGCATCAGTAGGTGTGATGCCCATTGATGGAATCTTGTTCACTTGTCTCAGACTTGGATTTGGTCTGTGGGTATTTATTTAATGGTTCGACTCTTACATCCTGTAAGACAAATTCTTTTATCAATCTTCCACCTGCAATGAGCTTAGTTTGGGGGTTTAAAACAGGAAAACAGACAAAAACTTGATTTTAAAAGGTGAAAAAATTGAGTGAGACATTAAACTATTACTGACAGTTTCAAAGAATTTTCTTTATTTCAGACACAATCTTGTCCATTTTCTTTGGCTACTAGAAATATTGCCATTGGCACCAGTAAGGCTGACTGTTCAAGAAGGCAGTTCCTAGCACCAGTGAACAATTTGTTTGACAGAAGACTTAAAAAACAAAATGATATGCAAATTCCTTGCAGATACTCTGTAAAGATCCCAGCAAGTCACTTTCCTGAGTTGTTAGCTTTTCTTATTGGTGCTTTATAAAATAAGAAGAAATAATGGACAGAAAACGCTAGCAAAATCACTGGTTGCCTGTCCTGAAGAAATTGTGGGTTGCAAGAGTTTCATCTAAACATGATGCAAGAGGTGTGTCAGATTTATTCAGACTTCCAGGAAGTTAAATATTTGTGCAGCTGTGCTTGGCTCTTATGCTTAGTCTGCCCCTATGTAATTCCCTGTGCTGGAGAGACAGGTAATTTTTGAAGTCCATAAAAGTGGATTTTGTTAATCTGTCACATGTAAACTTAGACTTGGATTTGCCTCTGAAACCTTCCAGTGCCCACCTCTTACATTGTTTTTGTAGGGAATGTGGGTGTTTAGTTCAGGAGGGCATTTTTACCAGATATTTAAGATATAAATGCTTAAAGTGCCACGTTAGGAGTTGATCCAGTTAAAGGTGTAAGAAGATGAATTTCTGATCTCAGTCCTATTTTCCCATGTAGAGATGATGGGATTGGAGTACGAAGTCCTGCATTTGGACGACTCTGAGAACAGGACAAATTCTAGATAAATTCAGCCTTCAGCTATTTATTTCCTGAAAAAAAAGTGGGTTTTCACATCAAAATAGTTATTTCAGTGGAAGCTGCTAGTTGAAACAGGCCATTTTATTGCGGTTTGAGGCAAACAACAATGATTGTGTAGTTTGGGTGGGAACTTCTTTATTGAAGTCTCGATGCGTCCCTTCATGAGGATTTCACACTAAGCTTATTAATGTCAGATGAACAACCTCTGTGGAAGAGCCCACCTTTTTGCCATAACTACATAGTCTGTCAGACAATAAAAGTGTGTGATTTGAAAATGGGGTGACATGTCAGGCGTGCACACCCAATATAACCATGTATTGTGGTCTTGAGTAGTTAAGAAATGACATTTTCTGTACATTTATTTTTGTCTTCTACAGGCAGTCACGACACTATGACCTATTGTTTGGATAAAACCTCTGCTGTTAGTGGAAATGAATCCAAGGTGGTGAAGTTTTTAAACAAATGTATCCCCTGCATTGTGCACCCCATTATCATGAAGTGGTCTATAACACAGGTAACTGTTATCTAGCATTCTTGTCATGCCTGGGCAAAGCTGAAGCTTTTGCTGCAGTACTGAGGGTGCTCATGCTCTCCCATGAAATGAAGGAATAGCCTGCTACCCAGAAATCTGTGCTCTCATGACATACTGTGCTTGGGTGTCATGGTTTAACCCCAGCTGGCAACTAAGCCTTACCCAGCCTCTCGCTCACTCCCCGCAGTGGGATAGAGGAGAGAATCAGAAGAGTAAAAGTGAGAAAACTCGTGGGTTGAGATGAAGACAGTTTAATAAATAAAGAAAAAGCTGTGCACACAAGCAAAGCAAAACAAGGAATTCATTCACCACTTCCCATGGGCAGGCAGGTGTTCAGCCACCTCCAGGAAAGCAGGGCTCCATCACACGTAACAGTGACTTGGGAAGAGAAATGCCATCACTGTGAATGTCCCCCCCTTTCCTCTTCTTCCCTCAGCTTTATATGCTGAGCATGACATCATATGGAGTGGGATATTCCTCTGGTCAGTGGGGGTCAGCTGTCCCAGCTGTGTCCCCTCCCAACTTCTTGTGCACCCCCAGCACTCCTCATTGGTGAGGTGAGGAGCAGAAAAGGCTCTGACTCTGTATAAGCACTGCTTAGGAGTAGCTAAAACATCCATTTAATATCAACACTATTTTCAGCACCCATCCAAAACACAGCCCCATACCAGCCATTATGGAAAAAATTAACTCTATTCTATCTAAAATGAGCACACTGGGGTACGAGATAGGTCCCATATGTACCAGATCTTCTTTTGTGGGGAAAAAGCATGTAGGTGAGGCAGACATGATACATAGACAAAGATGTTGCTTAAAGCTGACCACTTTGTCCTAGAAACTCACCTTCTTTTTTATGTGTTTATTGTTGTTAGAAATGACATTTAATACTACTATAATTAAGTTTTTTCTCTTGCACTTTCTTCAGAAGGTAATGCTTTTCATTTTTACTATCACTGTTGTATGAGATGTCAGTTGTTTTCCCCATCTATATTGTGTAAGTATTTCACCCAGCAGGAGAGACAAAAATCTTGTTGAAGGGAATTTTTTTCCATAAAGAGTAAGAGGATGAAGGTGTGGTTCCTCACATGAGGTTTAGTTAATTTTTAAAAATTTCTAAATATTAAGCTAGTAGTTATCTCTTTGTTCCTCACAAACGTGTGTTAAAGACCAAATTTGGGATCGCAATTTAAGTTAAGAGTTTCTGAAGATTTTTCTAAAGAACAGAATTTACTGGCATCAAAGAGATACCAAAAATATTTTCACTTTTGTTCTTATTGAAGGAGTAGTTCGTTATTAAGGAATTAAAAGGGAATAATTGATAAATGGCAATATGTATGCTGAAGCTTCTTTTGTTGTATATGAGCAGCCCTTTTGCAAACTGGAGTCTTAGACACTACAAAGATATTGAATATGTAACAGCAGTGATGAGTTGATGTGGAAGGGCACTCAGCACAGTGTTTTGTCTTGAGCTGCTTTTTGCTTTGGAACTTAAGCCAGTGAAATATTTAGACACCACCTAACTTGTGGGTTGCTGGCCAGTGAAGTGACCTTGTTGATGACAAACAAGCTCCCTACATCTTTATAGTAATTTTCTGGTCTGAACCCAGCATGCTAGTGGGAAGTGGCCCAGTGCTGATGGGAAAGAGGCATGGCTGCAATCCTGCCCCTCCTTAGCTCTGCGGTGCTTGAGTTATCTCTGTGAGGAGGTGACTCCACCTGTTGGTATCCAGAACAGACATCGGGGAGCCATATGGATGGTAGAACCCACAGGTCTCTGGATGGCCCAGTGCCTAGGAGGTGGTGCCTGGCTTGAGCCCTGGCTGTCACAGGTGTTAATCTAGAGGCTCAAATCTTTCTTGCACCAAGACTGATGTCAGGTGTGTAACTTCCACTCATGCCCTGGATGTCTGGTGTGAGATTGCATCACTGAACAGCATCGCTCCCCAAGGCTTCTTAAATTTTGCCCTTTGGGGGTAATTTTCACATTGTCCAATTCAGTATCCAAACACCGCTGACTAATTAGAGAGTCTAATTTGTCTAGTTTTCCCATGCAGTCAACAGAAAAAAAATCGATTAATCCAAAGGGCAGTTCAGAGCAGCTATTTCATCTGGTGCTCTTTCTGGCCACAGAGTTTATATATGACCTACAGCCATATACACTTCCATCTCCAGCATGCTCCAAGTGAAGGTGGGACTCAAGCATGGATCACTGCTTCAACTGGTCCAGCCTGGTGGAGACCAGTCAGGCACAGAGGGACCTGTTGGCCCAAGCCACATAGAGCATGTGGGACTGGGCTGCCCCCACCCCCCAGCCCTGCAGCTCTGACACAGCGTGAGAAGATTCAATTCCCATCCTAAGAACAGAAAGTTAGATGGTTCAAGCTAGGCAGGGTGAGCATTCGCCATGTGTCTTAAGCTCTGTCTTGGCCCTAAAGCTACGAATGTGGTTATTCAGGCACAATGCCTTGTATTGACTTAGCTTTTGTTGAATCCTTTCTGACTTAAATCAGTACAGTGTATGCTTGCTGAAACCTGAAAGTGTTGTCGATAGTGTGTTGAACTGAGACACATTAGCATTTAAACGTTTTTAATTAAATTGATTTTATTTTCTTATGCAAAGAGAGCCTTGATATAGATGAGAGACATATCACTTGGGAACTTTTGCCCCAGAAACTCAGCTTTATCACCTGTACCATTCAGCCCTCAAATCCAGTAGAAGAGGTCTGAGGGAAGTGGAAATAGAGGAGGACCTCTGTTTTGTACACTTCTACAGGTTAATTCAGACATTTTTAGAGACATTATCTTGAAAAAGAACAATAACCAGTACTTTTTTCTATTTTTGTTTTTTCTTCTGTTGAGTATGAGTGAACTCCTCAGAGACAACCATGGTGAAGTCTTTGATCTAATAAAATAAATACAGCATTTCTGAGGTGCTCATCCTGCAATTTTTGTTTGTACAAATAGTTTTGTGAAGAATGATTGTGTATTTATGCACAGGTTAATAGATCTTTAACTTTCAGAACACAAGGGAAGAGGTCTGAAACTAATCTAATCTGTATCTGCACTATATGCCACAGGGAAATTGGGATCCATCTTGTCAGAGAGTAAAATACTTCCAAGTTGCAACTTAGTGCCATATAGTGCCATTTTAAAGATGAAAGACCTGTGAAAAATGTCATAGGGCTAACTTTGTACACCTTCTTCAGCTTTCTAAAGAAACAACTCTCTTACAAGGCCTTGGGACCTTTGTCTTCTGTTTCACCTTTCAGGTACTGACTGTTACGGAGCAACTTGAGGCCGGAGTTAGATATCTGGATTTCAGGATTGCCCACAAGGCTAATGATCGATCTATGAATTTGTACTTTGTGCATATGGTTTACACAACAGTTACTGTACAGGTATTGTCCTTACCTTTGGGATGGCTATAGAAACAGTGCTGTTTCTTTTGTTTAAGAGCTATCATAATCTGAAAATGCTGGCCCAAGGTTTTCTGAGTAGGTTATTTGTTTTCCTACTGTGAAAACTTCAAACTAGAGACAATCAGAAGGGTTGGAAGTTAGTTTCAGCAGCTGCAAGTGAGACTGGAGCATCAAGAAGTTCCTGTTCTTCAAACTGGAGTTGCTGTGCCTTGCCCTCCACTGCCTAGCCCCTATGAAGTGCCTGATGTTTCTGGGGTTCATCTTGTCTTGTCCCAGGGTGCTACCCAGGGCAATCCTGTTTTCCCAGTAATGAGAGAAGTTGTTAAAGAGAAGAAGGTATTGAAAGCCTAATAACATTACAGAAACACTTTTTTTTTTTTTGAGCGAGAAGTATTTCACTGAAAGACAGAGAGTCTTTGTTAGATGTAATGACTGACTACCCTGCTAATTTTATGTGGTCTTCAAGAAGTTGTCATTGCCCATAACAAATGGGGAAAATAGGTCCTGTTATGTTTAAGCAAGCACAGAACTTTTCCCTGGTTTTGAGTTTGCCACTAATATGATATTTGTCCTTAAAGTAGCTTGGGAAGATGGCTTTATGGCTAACCCGCCTCTGGGCAGTAGGCAGTTCATGGATATTATCAAAACCCAAAGCTGTTAAGTGTGGTGTGCTAGAACTACATTCAGAGCAAATCAGCACAGACCTGCAGAAAGAAGGTTTTCCTGCGATCCATCTCTCTGGACCACTTTGTGAGCAGTCAGATAGCCATCCTCCAGAAACCTACATTGATTTTCATTTTTGTGATTGCAGGTCTACCCCACCATCAGTGCTCTGTTGGGTTTATTTGTTGGTTGTTGGTTCCTTTACCACGCATAGCATAGATGATTTTCTAAGTTGCTGTGACTCTCTCTTGTAGGAAATTCTGTGGGAAGTGTTAAGGTGGTTGGAAAATCATCCTCGGGAAGTTGTTATCTTAGCCTGCAGGAATTTTGATGGATTAACCAGGAAACTTCATTGTCTTCTTATTGCTTATATAAAAGAGACTTTCCAATGTAAACTGTGTCCCAGAAATGTAAGTATGAGATCCTTTTTTTTTTTTTTTTTCCTAAGAATGATATATTATGATGAGATCCTTGGTTCCAAATTTTTAGATATAGTCTACTTTCACTGTATTTTTAATCCATGAAAAGTAATACTTGCTGCATCAGAAATAGGTGTTTACCTAATAAAATTGAGGAGATAAAGCAAAACTACATCCCATGGTGTGGAGGAGGGAATAAGATTTAACTGTCATGTCTGTTGAGTTGTGGGATAATAGTAGGGACACAACTGTTGTCTACTGTCCTGTCTGAGTTTTGTTAAAAAAAGAAAATAAAAGGTGTGTTATAAATAATAGTCCTTACTATATAGAATTAAAGAATCCATTTTCTGCCTTTTCACAGATAATAATTATAAATTAATTTTTATGCTATTTATAATAGTTTAGGTTGGGAGTGACCTCTGGAGGTCACCTTTTCCAACCCCGTGATGCAAAGTAGAATTAATTTCAAAGTTATGCTGGGCTCTGTCCTGTCCATTCTTTAATATCTCTGAGGATGGAAATTCTATAAGCTTTCTATGCAGCCTGGTCCAACATTTGACCAATCTCACAGTAAACATGCGTTCCTTATCTATCTATCTATCTATCTATCTATCTATCTATCTATCTATCTATCTATCTATCAGAATCTGTCTTGCTGCAACTTGTGTCTGCTGACTTTCATCCTTTTGCTATGCATATCTGAGGAGTGTTCTCTACATCTGCCCGTTAGGTATTTGCAGACAGCAGTGAGACCTGTCTGTAGTCCTCTCTTCTTCATGTTGAACAGACCCATCTCTCTCAGCCTGTCCTTGCTCTAGCCTCTGCTTGATCTGGTTGCATGCTGTTGGACTCGCTCCAGCATGTCACTGACCTTTTTGTACTGGGGAAATTCCCAGCTGGAAACAGACTTGAGATGCAGTCCCATAACTGCTGAATAGAAGGGGAGCATGCCTTCTTCTGACTTGCTGTTTGTGCCTTTACTAATACAGCCCCGTTTGCAGCTGGTTTTTACCGTGTGGGCACACTTGGTCTCATGTTCAGCTTGGTGTCCACTAGGACCTCCAGGTCCTTTGCTGCAAAGCAGGTTTCTAGTCAGCTGCTGCCAGTCTGTCCTGGTATGTGGGGTTAGTCAAATCAGCGTGGGACTTTGCATTTGCCTTTATTGACCTTCATGAGGTTTCTGTCAGCCCATGTCTCCAGCCTGTCAAAGTCCCTCTTAATAGCATCTCTACCTTCAGTGTATTTCTGGTGGCACTGACTTTCTTTCCTGGATGTGAGCTGGAGCTGACCTGCCAACCAGCCTAATGTGCTTGCAGTTGCCCAAACCCCCAGAAAAGCCTTAATTTAAATAATCAGAAATTATTTGATTGCTAAATTTTAAAAGTTGAGATTTTTAGCTTCCCCCTTTTTACAAGGTGTGGGAGCTTTTAGTACTTAAACAATTAACATTTCAAAGATGCAGAGGAACAGAGGGTTTTCTCTGGAGATGTGAGGGGTACAGGGTAATGATGACCCTGTTTGTGATTTGAATTCAGCCTTTGAAGCTGGTGTATCAGGAATGGGTGAGTATTACCATTTCAAAGCATTTTGTACAGCAGAGTTAAAATAGAACAATTCTCAGCAAAACTAGAGGATTCTGAATATTCAGGCCTCAGCTGAATAACTGAAGACCTGAGTGACACTGTTTTATTGTTTCCCCAAATAATTTGAGTCCTTAATGTGGATGAGCAGAGCAATACTGGAGAAGACAGTCAAATTTGATTTCAGACGCATGGCCAGCTCTTAAAAAGGAAAAAGACATTAATTGTAAAAGGGGCAAGCCTGCTGCTTGTTGAATGAGGCTTGTTGAATGAAGGTGATGAACAAATGGTTCGAGATCACCTGACTTGTGTCCAGGGGGAGGGAGGAAGGGCACTGGAGAAAAGAGAAGCCAAGTACTTCTCTCAAGCAAGAAGGTTTTATTTCTGTGGGGTCTGTGACCAGCACAGTGGATCTCGCCATTTTTTGCAAGTGATACCATTGCAGGTTACGTAGCTGTGCGTTTTTTCGGGATAACAGATTCAGATTAAACATCAAATAACCAAGTGCTTGTTCACTTATTCTAAAATAATTTGGTACCTGCTGTCTTTCAAGACTCTAACTCTATTGTCATACAGAAATAAGCATCAAAGTGTTTATGAACAAACTGCTAAGTAGAGGTCTGTATGTAGTACTGGCACAGGCCGCATTGTGACAACATTACACTGCGTAAAAAAATTTTAATTGCCTTAACTATTCAAGGTGTCTTCCTTTGATCTGGATTACTAGGGTTTAAAAATCCCTTGTTAGACATCCAAAGTTTAATTTCTGCTTTGTTTGCAAAATAAGCACCTGTGCTCACGTACACATTTCTGGTAGCTTTTTTTTTCTTTTATTGCCCCCCCCGCCCCCCC